TTATGGATGAGTGAATAATTGAGTCCAGAAGATCATATACAAAACAGCACGTTTACATCATTTAGTAAAATATCATTTTTCTGCACTCTAATTTATATTCCTGTGTGTACAATGTGTTTTGCCTTCTACACTATACTTCCAGGGAATATTCCCTCTAATTGACTCATGTTCTGTGAGTTGTAGTCACAATATACATGAGTTTGCAACATGAGATGGAAAAGTCATTCCCTACCTGTTCCTGTGGAACATAACACCAGGTAGGAAGCCTGTGAAGTTGCTATACCTGCTGAGATCTGCCTTCCTTACAGCACAGAGAAGAAGCTATTGCTTTTAACCTAGCTGTCTTTGAAGAGGTGGCATAGGCACTTCCATGGCCTCCCAAGGTAAGTCAATAAATGAAGGTTCTCAACTTTTAGCTGCTGTTTATTATGCAGTCATATCATAAATCTAAATAAAGTAATAAACAACAACAGAGAAAAGCAGACTTGTTTTATATTTGCCACAGATACATTTCTCTATTGAGTTTTTTTTTATTGTGTATACCTGGTGTTTAAAAAAAAAATTTGATCAATACCCACCTATACAACAGTAACGTCATATCAACTTTGTAGTAGTTGAATGTATCACCGAAAAATATATTTATTACAAATATGTTGGCATGATTTTTATAATGCCAATGTACTATGTGCAGTGACACAGAGACACCAATCAGAAGTCATGTTCTATGTTTTGGAAATAGGGGTATTTTAAAAAAATTGTGTTTTAAAAAAAGTTGATCAATAACCATTTATACAAAAGTAAATTCATGTAAGCATTGTAGTAGTGGACTGTAACTATCACTGCAAAAACGTATTATTAAAAAATATTGGGCAATGTTTATATACGTTAGAGGCCAATATACTATGTGCAGTAACACAGAGCAAACAACAAGAAATAAAGTTTTCTAAGTGTTGTCAATAGTGTTGACATTAGGCATCTCTGACTAATGTCATTGTCCTTAATATCATGAGTAAAGAACAACAAAAAAACTTCCATGACATTATTACATACATTCATGTGAAAAAGTATATACTGTTGACTTGCATATGTATTGTTACAATTTGTTAAATGTGTTCAATTTCAATATAGTAGCTTATAACAGAATAATAGTATAAGGAATTATATGCCATACCAGTCTAGTTTTTTAAAGGGGCGCTGCTCCTTTTTACCTGGTTGAGGCAATATGCAATCAGATGAAAGTGGCCATTGTCTGACCAGTGGGCTGCATACCAATTATGGGGCATTCAAAGCATTCAAAGAAGCTGTAGAAAAGTGCACTGTCCTAAAATTAATGTTTGGCCCAGGGAGTACATGATGGTTTATAGCCTTGTCTAGGCCGGTATGTAGGGGAAAAACAACATCCTTTTTAAGTAAAATTAAATTACAATTTTGTTGCGAAACAAAAATACATTCTAACAGGTAAACTGCATCAGTTCCAAATATTTTAGCAACATTTGTTATAAATTCATACTATTCCACTGATGTTTCCCTGACCATGTCCAGTTGTAATATGAAAAACAACAACATTTGCATCTCTTTAGTCAGACAGTCCTAGAAAATATGTCAGCAACACTGAAACGTTTTTGTCAGCAAATGGCCCTAACTTAAAGTAGCACTAAGCTCAGGAGTTAAATCTTAAAAATGCATCCATGTACCTCAACTGTTAACAAAAATGTATCTTATTTGTGTATCACTCAGTTGAAACAATTTCTGAATTCATGCCTTCCTTCTGGAGGGGTGTTGCTTTTGTTCCCCGTGGTCCCTCTGTGTGTTGTAAAATAGCCACCACTCCAAGCTCGCTCCTGTGATGGACTACAATCTCGCATTTAGTTTAATAATTTGTATTGAGATTGTAAATCATCACGGGAGCGAGCTTGGAGCAGTGGCTACTTTACAAAACACACAGGCACCATGGGAACAAAAGTAGCCACCCTCCAGAAGGAAGGACAGTGTCAGCACCAATTCAGAGATGATTTGAGGATCTACAGCTGAGTGATACACAAATAACATACACTTTTGTTAATAGTTAAGGTACTTGATTTTTTTAAAGCATTTTTTAGGGCATAAAAAGCATTACATAGAAAACAGGTGAAAGTCCATTTCTGTTGCTGTTCCATGGTCAATCCAGTGTAGAACAATGTGGTTAAATGCCTCATTTGCTAGAGTAGGCCTCATTTGCTAAAACACATAGCTTAGTCAGCTTAAATTTTTATTTCCCTTCACTTTTAGTCTTGGTAACATTGGTTTACCAGGACAAATATAGAGGTGTGTCTCCTCAGCAGAAACACAGACAATAACAACTTGATAGAGGTTCTAGTGTTCCTACTCTATCCAAGAAAATTGCCATTACCTGCATTCTAACCCCACACAGTTACCAGGGCACAATGTTTTTTACTATAGCGTTCTTTTAATAAGAGGACAGATACTCTTCTAATAAATGTAAAAGAAGTCTGCAGTACAATATTGTATAACACAACTCAGCACAACTATTTTAAATTACGTTTGTCTTGCTATATCCAATAACACACTACAGAGAAGTGGATCTGTTATAGAGATTTCCAAGGGTGTAAAGATCATAAATAAAGTTAAACTTCACATCTTATGTTAAAGCACTCTGGAGCAGTTCATTTCCTTTCATTTAATTACCTCTCATATATAGCACAAAGGGATAGAGCCATGAGACAATGCTGACTGTAGAACGGACTGGAGATCAGTGTATAAATTATTTACACCATACTTATACATATTTAAATAGAAGCTCAGAGAGGTTCTGGAAACTTTTTCAGGGTGGTCTGGCAGTAAACAATAGAAAGAAACAGTGGCAGCAGTGGCAGGAGGAAGTGATATGTAGCAGCTAGACTCCTTGTGATGTCAGACACTGAAGTGTTTGCCGTTCCATTATGTCTAATTAACGCATAAGAGCCAATGTGCAGTAAAAAGCATTTACTGAACTCACACATTTTCAGAACAGCTAAGCTGGAAAAAAAGAACTTCACAAAAGGCATTTCATTCACTCACATTAAGCATGTCAGTACAGCAATTATCTATACTGATTAGTAGAAAGTAGCAGTTGTTGGCAATGTAATGGAAGCAAATGATAACAGAACTGACACTCCACTTCTAAAATAAAGAGAAGAAAAAAACAACGACAACACAATTTTATTGGAAATAATAGTGCTGTCAGCTATGGTTTGTTATGCGCAAAATAGCTTAGAGCAACAAGACATGAGCAAAAGGTCAATGGGTTTTTTTAGACATTAAAAACTCTCATGGATTTGGTGAACCACAAGTAGGATTCACACATTCTGGGGTTTGTACAGTGGAATATTGTTCATATTTCCTGATCCAAAAATATGGCATCCGATCGTAGTTGTCTGTGGATGATAGTATTCTTGCTAGCCTGTTGACAATGTGTGGATTATTTTATTTAGATGAGGACATTTTGGGGAAGGTTGTTTGGTACCAATAATTTGGAACATCACATATAGGCGATACTACAGATTCGATTTTTATTATTGTTGTTACTAGGCATGATAGCATTTATTGCAGTGATAACATGATATTGATCACCATGATATAATACATTTTACCCAAGGCTGAGGAATGCCATTGCTGACCTCTTTCTAAAAATTCAAGTCACCTTGATCTTCAATTTTCAGCACTTAATCACTGACCTAGAACAAGGATACAGAGGTTCTTATCTGGATACTTGATCCAAGTCAGTGATCTATTGTATTGAATTCAGAGGTCTACATGACAGCCAAACAACTCATATTTTCAGAGGGAGAGATCAGCAATAGCAACAGCTTTTCTTGTATATGTAAGGGTAAAGTTTATTTTGTTTTGGATGGATTAGGAAAGGGTTAGACCCACTGTCAAGTTGTTGTTTTTTTGTGTCCCTCTTGTCACTGAGACATAAAGTGAATGGAGACTCTATATTTTAGAGTTGTCATGAGAGCAAAAGGTGAAGGGAAGTGTTCCAATGGGGACAAATGTTCTGAAAGCAATTGTCTAAGATTAGAACTTCTCTCACTTACTGTTGGAAGGAAAACTTCTGTAGTGGGACGAAAACAGCAGAAGTATCCTGACAGGAGTTATAACCCTTCCCTACTTTATCCCCCCCCCCCAAAAAAAAAGTTTTGGATATACTGTACATACATTGTAAGGTTAGTACTAGGTTCAAAATATGGGTTAGGTGTTAGGCTGAGATTAAAGATTAGTTTCATGAACTAGTTTGTGAAAGTAAGCTTTGTGGTTAGGTGGAGGTTAGAGATCAGTCTCCATTAGTTTTTGGATGCAATTTTGTTTTCTGGTGTTAAAAGTGAATGCTACATTTATATACCCAGTAAGAAATACTGGTGCCAAAAATATGTGGCACTCAGCTTTAATAATAATGATAATAAGAAATCTACTCTAGAAGTTAGCAATGGAATGGATATTTCCCTTTAAGCAAAGTTTTTTTTTTCTCTCCACCTGGAGGACCTGCAATTCAAGGATTTCCCTGCTTCATCTATTATGTGGATCTGTGGTTTTTGAGAAGGCAAAGCTCTGCTTTTGTACCCAAATGGCAACCTCCACACAGAGACACAGTGCAGTACAATGCATATTAAATCCTGTAGTTCTATGCCTTCTGCTTGCCATTTTGGGAACAGCTTCCACAGTTGGTGTCCTCTTTAGTCACCATGAACTTAGCTAGTAGTAGTCAGTCACATTCAGCTGGACTTGTTCTGTAATGTTAAAGATGTTTTGCTGCTTATACAAACAGCTACTTTGGTTCGAAGATGCTGTATAGATGAGCAGCACAACATCTTCAACTTTACAGAACAAGTCCAGCTGAATGTGGCTAACTGCTTATAGCCATACCATAACCTGGATAAATAAGAACCTTCACATACTATTAAGTTAATATTTCAAGTATGCCAATGTTTCAGTAAGAAGCCACTTGATTTGTATTTTTTTAGATGCTCGTTCTCATCAAGATAAAGATCTTCCAAATTATCTGCCTGGCACACCTCAGCATGTAGATCAGAATGAGCAGCTGGATTCTCCACCACCATGGAAAGCAACACCTAATACAAAGATTCCAGAGCCCAGGTTCCTGGTACCACCTGGTCTAGAGCACCTGAGCAAGGTGATTTAAAGTTTATAATCCTTAGACAACAGTAAAAATAGATACAGGATTTAGAATGCTTTATGTCATATATTTGACTTACTGTCTGCTGTAGATACAGATAAGCCAAACACTTACAGATTGTCTCACTACACATGCTGTACTATATGTACTATGTCAGATAACTATCATTGATTAGATCTAAAGTTAATGTATTAATTGGTTTTATAGGTACAACAGATCATTATTCATCAACAAGTGGAGTTGCTGGGAGGTAAGTAGTTATAATTAGAAATAATTCCTGTGAGTATCATAACATTTCACCTGGCATGCCAGACCACAAGATCTACGAAAAGTCTAGGATTTTTTAGCCAATAGCTACTGTTTTCAGTGTCGAGTTTTACAGGATTATTCACACAAGGGTGAAAAGTTTGGAGAAGTGAACAATCTAGGACAACATAGCCAAACTGTGAAGTGAGCTGAATTGGAGAATTTTTCCAAATCAGCTATTTTGGCCTAGATTCTTCACTTCTCCTGCCGTCTCCAAACTCTTCACCCTCTTGTGAATAACCCTGTTAGACATCAGCTTCAGCTTAAAATAAACAAATACATTCATAAATAAAGTGCAAAGTGATCAACTGTGGACTGTCGTGGAATATATACTGCGAGTAGGAACTTTAATAACATCCATAGATATTTATCAACATCTTATTTTCAATGGGAAAGCTTACTGGGCTATTCAAACTATGTAAAATAAAATGAATCCTACATTAGCTAAATGCTCACTGCATATTCCCCAAAAGAGAAATAGAGGGTTGCCATTGCTGACCTCTTTCTAAAAATACTGATTGCTTTGCTCTTTCTAGTTTCAATAGTTTGAGTCACTGGCCTGGAACAACCATGCCGATAAGGAAAGCCTCCTTATACTCTAATAAAGGGTTTCCTTTAACTTTGGACATACATAAGTCTTAGTAGAGTACCAGGTTATTCTACAATAAAAATGCAAGGATTGTGTATAGAGAACCACTAACCATAAAGTTAATTCTGTGTTTGCATACAGGATCAGCATTTGCAAAGATAACTTTTTGTAAACAAATACAAAAACAGGTTTTTCCTCCTCTTCTAACACTAACGGATTGGAACAACAGGCATATAGAATGGTAGCTCTTTGGCAGGTGGGCAGTAAGTGCACGGACCCCTGCTGCTTATGCTCTATATGAAAAATTCACTGGCAGCACAATCACTGCATTACAAATATGGTTCTTTTGATGATAAATGTGTGGCAAATCCAGCACGACATGTGTATATGGATTTGACAGAATTTGTATGAGTCTTCCCCTAGGAATTTTTACCTTTATTTTAATGAAATAAATGACTGTGTAGACGAGTATATTCTTATATTTCAGCTGTAAATAATCAGACAAGCAGAATGTAATATTACAATAATATACATCGGGAATAAAATAACACCTAGATTTTGGAGCTGAAACTATAAATCAATGTAGCGATAACGTTTATTTCTGCAATACTTTCCACCCCCACCTCCATTTCACACATGCTACTTCCTACTATTTAAAATGAATTCTATCTTGTTACCTCTCCGTGAATCTTAAATTGGATTCAAATTAAAGCTTTTTGGATCACTGTACATCTTTCAGCATATAAAAGGAACTGTGACACTTAGTGATGCTTTTCATGATTTTCACTCCTGCCTCGGTACAAGTTGTATTTACAGGAAAACTGCCACCAATTAGCTACAAGAGGTCTAGAAAGAATTGGAAAAAGATAATGTATGTGAATGATGACAGTGAGATTTAACAAAAGGGCATTTTGTCTTGAATTCAATTAAGGCTTGAGTCGTAGTAGGAGACAAGTATTAAACAACATAGCTAAAGGACCCCACAGGAGAACAAGCCCAGCTTGCAACTGACTCCACGTGGATAATCTTGCCTATGGCTATACAAACTTCCATTCTTTTAGTGCTTTCTTTTTTTTTTTGCAATGACCGCAATATTTAATGACTTGTGCAGAAATTTAAAGTACAAATTCAGGTATCAAGTGGACTGGTGAGAGGAGAAAAAATATGTTCATGCTTGATCGATCAATGTAGGATGCTTGTTTTGTTTTTAATATTATAGTCACTGATGGATTCCCCAAGATAAGAACTGAGAAATGCCCCTTAGGCTTCCTTTTAATGCTTCACTCATCACTTCCATTGCTGTTTCAGTTCAGCGCCATACTGTATAAAGAATTTAAATATTGCTTGAGTAATTTACCCAATAGCCTGGTGTTAAATTACACAGTGATTGGAAGAACAGCACGTACTAAACTGTAGGTTAAATCAATTTCTAGTAGTAAGAGCCAAATTTAGAGTTGTCAAATGCAATTATATGTTTACTGGTAATATAATTTAGCAACTGTGGTATTTTGTTTCTAATAAACTAACTAGCTAACTAACTAACTAACTAGCAGCCTATTTACAGTGGCTATATCCAACATTTTCATTTTTCACATAAAACAGGCTATGCACAGTCCACAGTCAGTATTGAAAATATACCCCACATCCAGTGCTTCCTTTTCCATAATTGCAAAGTCTGGTGAATCAACAAGAAAGTCAGGAAATCACCAGCACTCAGTAGTAAAGATGTCAGATGTGACTGATCTTTCTGCCTTGAGGAAGGGACCCTGCGCGGCCCCAAAACGTCGGTTTATTTGGATGTCTGTGACGCTTTCTGTCCAATAAAAGGGACATATTTATCTTTACTACTGAGTGCTGGTGATTTCCTGACTTTCCTGTGTTTGCACGGCGCCATCCGTGGTAATTCATCACTGCGAGCACCACTTTTTTCTTATCTGGCCGGGACTGCTGTGAGGAATGCAGAGGGCCTCTCCATCTACTTACATGGTGAATCAACAAGACCAAAATCAATCTTAAAATGATCTAAAAACATTACAGTAGAACCATAGCTATGACCTTTCAAATATTTACATATTTTTAACACACATTAAATAAACTTTAAAACAAGTCATTAATGACCTCTGCAGCTATAGACCCTGTGGAGGAATGAATCCTCAAATTTCACCATAGAAACAGTCAAGTAATTCAAGTTAGGCCTCAGCACTTTGTTCTTTACCCTCTTCCTGTGCACCTGATCTGTGTTTACACTAGGGATTAAAAGGCTGGAAGGCTGACAAGATGCCAGCTCCAATCTGGTAGAGGGGAGCTGAGCTACATAGAAAAAAGTAGAGAACTGAGAAGCTCCTGCTGCAAACTTTGAGGATGAATTATCTCATAGTGGGTATAGTTACAGATGTCAGTGAGGACTTTAATGTCCATATACAGGCTACAGTTCTGCTTTAAAGTTTTGCAAGATCAATCCACCAGTACTTACAAAGTAACCCACGTGTATATTAAACAAAATATTTATCCTGAATCACTATATACAATTATTTCCCTAAAGTGAAGCTCCAGATATTGTTTCTCTAGTTTTGGATAGAGTGGGGAAGGTTTAGAACCTCTATCAGATGTTTGTGATTTTTGGGTTAATCCTGGGGAGATTCAGCTTAATTATCCATCCTGGCAACTATTGTCACCAGGACAGAAGATGAGGAAATCCCAATTTGTACAGTTTTCCACAGAACTGGAGGTATAGGGAGATTTTCCAATGGGGACACGTGTCCAGGTGACTGTCAGCATTGGGATTTTGACACACTTTGGGAAGATATCCATTAATTTTCAGTCATGTCTTTGGGACAGAAAGTGAGGGCCCAATGAGGACACAAATAGGAATATGACTGAGGTTCTAACCCTTCATCAGTAAAAAGAATCCCCCAAAAACCTTTATTGAAATATAGGCGCTGTGCTTCTTGATATTGACTGTGTGTTTTTATAGCTGAAAATTGTTCCAAATCTCCATTTCAAGAATACGTTTTATGCTTAGAGCGTCCCAAAGCAGATTCAGGTGATACTATTAGCTTTTGTTATTTTGCTCTAAAAATATATTTCTACATTTAGAGGCGGGGGCTGGAAGGAAAATCATATGTTTGTTGGTTATTTACTTCCCAGGAAAAGAAGCAAGTCGATAGAATAGCAATCTATGTCAGGGGGTTTTAGCCAAAAGAATACTAACACTGTGACTGCTGTGTAAGCTTTGCACAATTAATTTTTTGTAGGAGTCACTGGATGAAATATACAGTGCATTGTTTTAGTCAAAATATTCACATTTATTGAAGTATGGAAAATGAAAAGATCGTTTTATTCTGCTTGCACCAAAATAGGGCCCAAGACTGGAAAAGGTATGTGGTTGCTCCTGCAGCAGCTTGCCTATTATTGTTGTTATCATTTTGTGACTGGTATTTTCACCTATTTGGCATTCTTGTTTTGCATCTAGTTAGTTCAGTCCCCTGTTAGACACTCCCAGCATCCTTATGTTCCAAGTTACTTTTATCATTGCTGAGTTGCCTTTTGAGTGTTAGAAGACTTTGCTCCCCAAATGCTTTTCACCAGCAAGAAATGCTCAGAAACCATCTTTCATTCTTAGGGGTCTATTCACTAAGCTGCCGTAGGCAGCCGAGTGAATGACCGACCTGAAGTGAAGTGAGCCGAACACTGTTCGACTATTCACTTCAGGCTGGTATGGCTGATTTCAGCCGTATATCGGCTGAAATCAGCCATACATCGGCTTGCTTCGCATGGCTTCGGGTCGGACAAACATGCTCAGCATGTTAGGCTGACCCGAAGTGCAGAAGGAGTTCGACTCAGCCAATCCAACATCTGGATCAGCTGAGCCGAACCTCCAGCAGGCTACTCACTGGTGTTTGGCCTATTCTTATAGATGCCGAACAGCAGTGAGTGAATAGCCGAATGCCGCTGAGCGGCATTCGGCTCGGCTGTTATGCTCGGTCCCTCAGAAGGACCTAGCAGAACAGAAAAAGAGTAAAAAAAGTTTTAAAAAAGTAAATAAAAAACGATTGTGCGGAGCTAGCAATGACAGCTAGCTCCGCCCAACAGTTTTCTATTGTCCGGCGGTTCTGCTGCCGTTAAAAAAAAAAACGAAAAAAAACCCGAAAAACTCTCCTGGGCGCTCTGGGAGCATCCCGCTCTTGGCCGCCCAGGAGAGAAACACTGATTTTTCTTTTATTTTCTTTATTCTGACACGGAGCAGTGTCAGAATAGAAAAAAAAAATGTTGCCCATTGGAATGCATTGCTAGATTCCTATTGGCTATTTCAATTTGCAATAGCCAATAGTAAACTAGCATTGTACCCGCCCTCTGCTGATGGACGTGATGGAGAACTGCAGCAGAGGGCGGATACAATGCTGGTTTACTATTGGCTATTGCAAATTGAAATAGCCAATAGGAATCTAGCAATGCATTCCAATGGGCAAAACATTTTTTTTTTCTATTCTGACACGGCTCCGTGTCAGAATAAAAAAAAAAGGAACAGCAGTGTTTCTCTCCTGGGCGGCCGGGAGCGGGAGACTCCCGGAGCGCCAGGGAGAGTTTGCTGTTTGGAGATCAGTGTCCCTGGTTAGCAGGCAACCAGGGACGCTGATCTCTCTGCAAGTGGCCGGAGCCAGCCGTAAGATCACTGCTGGCTCCGCCCAGCTGTCAGAAGCAGGCTGTCGGCCGGCCAATGGCTTCGGCTTTCAGCGCGGCTCAGCCGAGCAGAGGCATATGCGTTCGGCTCGACTGAGCCGCTCGGCCACGTTGGGGAGCTGTACGGGCCGTACAGCACCCCTTCGGTTCTACTGAACCGAAGGGGTCCTGGGGTCGAAGCTAGCCGAAGGATCGGCCAAAGCTATGGCTAGATCCTTCGGCAGCTTCGTGAATAGACCCCTTAGTATACATGGCTAGTTGGAACTGTTTGTTGAGTCAGCAAGTTGCCATATTGGCCACACAGACTGGGTCCCAGGGGGTTTGTCTTTTGCTCAAAGCCACTTTTGAAGCAGGACAGTGTGATTCAATTGGTGTGGGTGATGATGGGCAGGCAAACAGTGAGCATGCAGGCTAACATCTAGCATTATGGTAAAGAGGAGGACTTGTGAGTGCAAATAAACTCTACAGCTTGCATAAATTGTTTAACATGTAGAAAAATCCCTGATGTTTAGAGTGCTTAAGTACAGCATAATTTGTGTAACTTAAAATGGTGATGGCAGTGCTGCAGTGAGGTCAGCTTGTCCTTTTCAATGACAGATGTCCCCATCTATGAACAATTTAATATTCTCTTCAGCACAAGCTAGGCAATAAAAGCAAAAAAGCTTTGCTATCATTACTATTAAGATGGAATGGAAGGACTGCAGCTTTTAGAGTAGGATGTTAGTAGTGCCCATAATCTAAAGGGGGGGGGGGGCAAAGCAACTTGGAAAAAAAGCAAACTATATTTAGGCATAAGGTGCGAAATACATTTATTGCATACTATTACAGGGATTTAATGAAAGGTGGCAAAGTTGAGTCACTGATAAAATCATGCTAAAAATATTCCACAAGCCTGAACTGTAAAAGCTGTATTGTAGAGGTGGTCGTATATGTATAAGGACAGGGCTTTGTTTCTTTATGTCAGAGCTGCCTGTCCCTCAATCAAAGGAGATCTGATGACCAGTGGGTTAATGATCGAGAAGCAGAAGTAGAGGTGAAGGAAGCACAGATCCACCGAATAAATAAAGCAGAAACAGGGAGATAATTGCATTTCAGATTTCTCTCCAGCAAGCAGAACAATAAGCAGCACAGTAGTGTATTTTCCAAATCTCTTAAGACTAGAAGTCACAGCCCGCAGTGATCACAGTACAGATATACAACTTTAAAGTTGAACTTTTAGGAAAATTATTCTTAACCATTGCAATGCTCATTTCTGTGTAGGGTGTAAAATAAAAAAAAGTTATACTCACACGAACCTCACAGCCAACTGGCTATTAGAGCCTTCCCTCCAGCCTGTCTTCTCCTCTGCTGCAGCAATAGTATGTCCATTGGTGTCCTCACATCCAATATACTGTGTGATGAGTCAAGGATTCTTAGGTGGCTGGGGCAGAGGGTGAGAGAGGCTTCATGGACTGGTCTTACAGCCGGCTGTGAGGTTTGGGTGAGTATAACTTTTTTGTTTTACAACAAAGACGACAATGAGCTTTGCAAGGGTTAAGGATAATTTTGCAGTGCGGTGGCTGTCCAGGTTAAGAGTATTTTTATCCTAGTGTTCTTCTTAAAGGCTGTGGGCACAGGACTGTCTAGACACACTCATATGCCAGGAGCAATTTTTCAGGAGCAATCCAAGACAAAAGGTAGATTTCTCAAGGTACTTGCTTAAAGGAGAACTATGAGGTGAGTGCTTTTCACTCACCTCATAGTTCTAGCCGACCTGTGACAATGAGAGCTGTAGCTCGCGGTATACTGAGCTTAGGGTAACGGGAGGACGCTAGTTTGTGTCCTCCCGTTACCCTAAGGAGAACTATGGGGAAAAACACTGACCCCATAGTTCTCCTTTAGCACAATTAACACATCCAGAAGTTCCTCATGAGAAAACTTCCAGTTTGTGTCCACTTTGTAGTGAATTTTCCTGTACAGGGTAAAGCAACAGGTCTAGGTTTAATAGAGGCCATGAAGCAGGTAAACCCAAAATACAGTCCGCAGATAATTACTAGATATGTGTGCCGGCGAGAAATTTGTTTCAATTCGGATTTTTGATTATTCCGTTTTTCAGGATTTAAGTCTGAAAGTTAATTCATTTTGGTATTATGAAAGGGGGCACCCAGATTCCTATAAGCCCCCCTGCCCGAAGACCCCCCACAACCACCGGGTTAAGGTTGTGGGGAAGAGGCCATTGTTCTCATCGATATGTTGAGGGCATGTGGCCTGTTATGGTGCAGGATGCTCTGCCAGGCTGCTTCTCCGATCAAGGATTTTAGAGTGGACCCCACACCTTTTTTTGGCATTGGGGTCCCCCATCATTTTCCTACCAGACCTAAAGGGTTCTGGTATGAATTGGGTAGGGGACTCCATGCTGTTTTTTTTTTTATTTTAACGCTTAACAGCACAAGTTCATTCTGAATGACATTCGGGAAAAAATCTCAGTTGCATCAGAATTTCATTATTGGAAAATTCGGATACGTTCTGATTCGTTATTTCTTTCATTCTGGAAATTCAGATGCATCCGAATGTCCGAATATGCCAATATTCATCCCAATTTCTATTCGGGACGAAACAAATCGCACATGTCTAATAATTACCGTGATGAAACATCCTCGAGCTACCTTGCTAGTGCTGACTTCTTCTACTGGGCTTCTTCCGGCTGCTGGGTCTTCAGCTCTCTTGATTAGTCAGCATGGGATGAAGTAACTCCCATAAATGCACATGGGAGTTCTTCATTGCAGCACAGAGGCGTGCCAAGAATATTACACTGACCTGCGCAGTTCTATTTACATTCTAAAAAGGATTGCTAACAGGCTGGTAAGTTTATTTTATTCCAGAAGTGACAAAGTCCTCTACTGTGTTTTGTGGTGCACTGCAATGCAGGTACGTTGGGAAAAGTGCGTTGGGGGGTCATTCACAATGAATGCATTGAATACCACTGTGTGAATATGTCCTAACACTAGAAGGTCTTGCATAGTGAAAATTACTTATCCTCAGAGGGTGTTATGTTTGAGTGCTGATGCTTGCAAAATGTTAATAGTACATTAAGACTGCCTAACACTTGCAGCCTTGTATGAAGTCCCCTAACTTTAGTCCCAGGGAAACAATTTTAGCTGGAAAATATTCAAAGCAGTAGTAAACCTCTGCATACTGGGTGGGTTTTTACCATACTGTGCAAGTTTGACACACATAGTATTTTATAAGTGTGTCCTTCTCCTGCATAGTGCAATATATGCTGTGTCCCCTACTGCTGCCATCTCCACGCTGCCACTTCTGAGTTCCCAGGCATCCTCTTCAGCCACTGGGTGGCCACTGATGATGTAACTCCTACATATGTGCACAGGAGATACAACTCTTCCCAGCATTCACAGCATCGCATGTACAGTGTATACAGAGAATCAAAAATATTCTAGGGGAAAGAGGAGAGCCGAGACTTTGCCTGCATCTTCTGCCAATAATCCCTACCTCCTAGCAATTTTTTAATCTTTCTGACTTTATTTCCGCTTTAAATATGCTTAACCCTCGAAAATATGTATCGCTTACCCCCGAAGGAGCTGCTGGAATACCCGGCTCATCCATAGCCTGTCTAGGGGATTTTAGTAACCAGCTGCCCCACTAGCATTAACTGCCCTCTTCTAGTGTGCAACAGAGCTGAGATCTAGGCCAAAAGTATGATGCTGAAGAACTCTTCTTAGAACTCTTGAATAGGGAGAGAGTTTATGGCTTAGGACATCCATAAGAAAAATTGACAGACTCCAGACTCACCATTCTCTTTCCAAATTCCAGTGCAGATTCAGTAGGGGCACATGCTGACACTGGGTATTTGAGCAACCATTGAATAGAGATTGGCACAGAATCTTCAGAAGGGGAGACACCAGACTTGCTCCTGAGGTCCACTCTATTCCAGACACCTCCAGCAGCCATCAACTTCCGCGGTTCTCCTCCTCAATCTGTAGCAAAGGCCTCCCCCAGGCTTGAGGCCTAGCAAAGCATTTCCCGCACTTGAGTATTCCCACCCCCAGTCCTAGGGGAAGGTTGGACAGCACCCAGCCCTGAGTAACTATCCTAGAACTGGACTGAGCACATGGCAATTCCCTTGAGTATATATGCCCTGTCCCAGTAATTTGCTGGTGGACTCCACACACACTCACAGTGTCCCCCATTGGTTGCCCCACACTGCAGCAGAGTCGCACTCCACTCAGTCAAGTACAATCAATGCCAGAACACCTGGAATTACCAGATAAACGCCAACTTTAATTCAGGTAGACTGACTACGGCACTGGCAATCATTAATTTGCTGGTAGCCACTCCACTAAAGGTGGTAAGGGCTACAAATGTTTTACAGCACTGCCATTAATTTTCACCATAAGACATTGCGGTGTTAAAACAACTTTCTTTTTGTTTATTTAGTATTCCTTGGCACCGAAAAGAGCAACAAGTATGAAATAAAGGACATCTTTGGACAAAGAATTTACTTTGCAAAAGAAGAAAACATCTACCTTAACAAAAACTTATGTGGCCCAGTGCGGCCTTTCAAAATGCACGTTTCTAATAATGCTGGCCAGGAAGTAATCACAGTTATTAGACCCCTGAGATGCATTACTTGCTGCTTTCCCTGCTATTTGCAAGAGGTCAGTGAAGTTGTGGTGATCGCACTTGTTATTATTACAGCAGTTTTTTGATGAGCAGTGCATGTTCTTTGCTAAATCCGTTTCCTTTTCTCAATGGGGATAAAAATGGCATTGACACAAGTTTCAGAGGAGGAGGTTGAAAATACATAATGCTTTTATAAATGTCATATTGACTTTTAGAAAGTGAAAAAGTGGCAGTAATGACTTTTCTGTCCTATTGAAGAAGAATTTGCAAAATGTGAAACATATAGTTCATTTTATAAAATGTGCTACAGGACAGCTAACATCAAATAATTATTAAAACCTGTTTTGACATTTTGTAGTAGGAGCTTTTTATCTCTGTTTAGCCCTTGATTGTAAAGATAATATTTCTATGAAAATGTTTGCAATGTAGCCTGCGTAGTGGCTGTGTAATAGGGCATCCTACCATGAAGACTAGTGATGAACCTACCAAGCAAAGTTAAGTCTATCAAACACTTAAAAAACTTGTCAAAACCAAAACGTAAAGTTCAGACCCCATTAAAATCGATGGGAGACAAATATTGTAATGTTTTAGTGGTCTTTTTCAAGGCTAATTTGCAAACCTTTGGTGAAAATAGGGCATAGGTAGCCAGGCACTGCCATGGGGGACATCTACCAATGCAAAACAATAAAAAAAAAAAAATGCTGAGGGGGGAATGTCTTTCAATAAGGTTGGAAGGCAACCTTCCAATCCAGTAGTCCAAGGTCCCGTCATAACGTCCAATACACTGTTTATAGGATATGAGGAAGCCGAGGGAAATACCGTTGCTGCAGTGGGGGAGGTGACAGGCTGGGGAAAGTGCTGTAACAGCCAGCCAGCTTCGAGGTTTGGATGATTATAACTTTGCTTTTTTAGATCCTAGACCAAAATTAGCACTTAACCTTTGGAGTGCAGGAGTAGAGGGTTGCAAGGGTTAAGAATAATTTGTCTCTTCTTTAAACAAGTGTCAGCTACAATTCTTGAGAATTGCCCTCCCTTACTTATACTTGCTACACCAGTCAAATGAATTTGTGACCCTTGTGAACAAATGCAAAATGGTTCATGACAATTTAGGGTTCTTGCAGGTGCTTCTTTTGGTGCTACATATAACATTTGTGGACTTCAATAAGAGTGCAAGAAAAGAGCATGTTTTTGGGCTGTTTTTGTGCATAACAACCAGATTCCTTTTCTTGGCAACATCTACTCTAGCCAGGTTGCATAGGAAGCTGGAGCGAGCAGGCCACAGCATGCTTGATGTAGAAGAACAAATATGGCTGGACATTGCTATAAGAACCCAGCAACTGCAATTACAACGATCGCTGCAAGCACCAGAGGGCCTGGGAGGACATTGCTAGGGAGGCTTAAGTGAGTATTGCGCTAATTGCAAATGACCATGTACTAGGTGCCTATTTATTAATTTGAATGGCACCCCAACGCACCTCCTGGCAGCAGTGTATTACAACGACGCCATGGTACCACAAAACCCTGTATTGTGGTGAAAAAAGTAATACATGCACTATTTTTTTCCCACCATACCCCAACACACAGAGGGTTATTTGCTATTGATCCGAAGGATTTAGCCGAGGCCCCTTACTCATTCACAAGGGGGGGCAGCATCTGGGTCGGGGTTGTGGAAGAGTACCCTGGAAAAGCACCCTCCCAGTGCCAAGGGTATGTGGTCTGGTATGGAGCAGGGAGGGGTTGCGCTTGCTTGCCTCCCCCCCTTTCCTGCCCTGCCAGGCCTGTGCTCGGTTTAAGGGTCTAGTTGGGAATTTTAGAGGGGACCCCACCTTTTTTTTTCCTCAAAATTTCTACCAGATTTTCTACCAGACTTAAAGGGCCTGGGGGGAACCCTATGCATTTTTTTTTTAACATGGGGTCCCTCCTAACTTTCCTACCAGACCGAAAGGGTCTGGTATGGATCGGGAGGGGGACCCCATGCTGGGTTTTTTTTTTTAATTTACATGTCATTTTTTTATTCTGCTCGCTGCCTCGGAGGTATCGAGCAGAATAATCGAACCGAATGCCATCTGGAGGCATTCGGTTATTCACTCACTGCCGTTCGGCCCCTATGAGAATAGGGGCAAACGGCAGCAAGTGAACTGCCGGCTTAGCTGATCCAGATGTTGTTTCGACTGAGTCGAAAGTGTTCTTCACTTCGGCTCAGCCGAACATGCTGAACATGTTCGGCTGAACCGAAGCCTGCCGAAGCCAGCTGACGTAGGCTGATTTTAGCCAATGTGTGGTGTTACCTGAATTACTATTTTAAGTTATGAACCGCTATATAAGCATTCACACTTACAGGTTTGAGATTCTAAGGATTCATTCATGAGATTTTTTTTTTTTTAATCAGAAGTCAACTTTATTGAACATATGCATGGTACAATGGTACAGGGAGGCTCAGCCTCAACATCATGACAGCATCCCCATAACAATCTGGGGTATATGGTGCATATATATAACATAGTGCATACAATATGGATAGGAGGAGGGGGTTGATCGTCTCAACGAGAAAAGAAGGGAACCGTGGCACGTCACGAAAGTCAACTTTGGTGAAATTCGAGCATGAAAAAGAAAAATTATCAAGGAGCAAAAAACAATGCACCATAGAGGCAGGTTGGAAACGTAGCGTTCACGTCAAGTTGTTTTGTACAACATATCTATCGGATGGGATATAGGCACTTACATTTGGCATCATTTCTTAATACACAAAAACAGATGTATATGGCTAGGTAAGTGGTCGATGTCTAAGAGAAGAGTAAGGATAGGGAGGGAGAAGGCAGGCATGGAGCGGGAAGGCGGGCATGAGGGGTGGGGTGTGGGAGAGACGAAAAGGAGAAAAGAAACTAGCAGCACGGAAGAGCCAGGGGGTATGAAAGATGGTTGTGGATCAGGTGCCTTGGGCGCGTGTCTAACGACACCGCTTAGGAGGGCGTTGCGTGCATGACCTGATGGTAGGCATCCGTACCTTGGAAGAGGGCCCATGGTCTCCAGGTGGACCGGAAAAGCTCCTCGGTGTTCCGTAGCGTAGAGGTGAGATCCTCCAACAGATATGTTTCGTCGACCTTAGTGAACCACGACCTAAGGGTAGGGCAGCTAGTTTGTTTCCATAGTAATGGAATGCACTGGCGGGCAGCATTCAAGAGGTGCCGAGACAAGGATTTTTTATATTTCCCAAGAGACATATTGTTTAAGTGCAGCAAACATGCCGTGGGGTTGTCTGTCAGATCCACCATTACCAGGTCCTTCAGGGTGGCAGTCACCCCCTGCCAAAAAGGGAGCAGTAGGAGACAAGACCAAAAAGTATGCAATAGCGTGCCTGGGGCGGTGCGACATCTCCAGCATAATGGTGAGACGTGGGGCTACATGGCGTGTAAGACAGTTGGAACCCAATACCACCGGGAGACTATTTTGTATCCTAACTCCTGAGTCTTAGAGGCGATGGAAGAGTGGTGAGCGAGATGTAGTATGCGGTCTTTCTGTACTGGTGTGAAGTAGGTGTTGAGGTCACTTTCCCATTTGGCCAGGAATGTCGGATAGGACTCTGAGGGGGGCGAGATCAGCATAGAAAGGGGGGCGAGCGGTATCTGGGAGCATGTTGCGGAGGGACCGCGAGAAGAGGCACCACCAGCACGACCCTGGGGAGGACACACAAGTGTCAGCAGGGATTCTCTGTCCCAAGGGAACAACGGTGAGGGCCGTGCAGGGGGACGACCGGAGGAGGGCCGCAATGTCCCCATCCCTCCCGGGCCCGGCCGCAGATAGGACGAGGGAGGGAGGGGGAAAGATACACAGAGAGCAACAATTGCTGTCCCCTCCACTTTAACTGGACCCACGCATCTGAAACAGAGGCAGAGTAGTCTACTGGAAAAAAAACAACAACACATAAGTGCAACATGGCGAGGTCCATAGGACACAAATAGCAAGGAAACCTGAGGTCCTGGAAGTGGAGGGCGTAGGAAGTCCGTGGTCTACCCCTCGCCCCCGCACCCAATGGGCTGAGATCTGCGACCTAAAGAATTGTGAGTAAAGCATCAAGCATGAGAGAAAATAAAAAACACAGCAGCGGGGCGCCATGGTCCCCTCAACGAGGGGGTGCGGGGTGGGGTGATGGCAAATGACCAGTCAGTAATGACAATGAAGGATACAGCAGGAAGATCAGGGTTCATGGCCCACCAGGGGCTGCACTGACGGCTCTCTTCGGGAAGACCGTTGTCTGCTTCTGGCCCGGCGGGGGGTCCGCGGGGGTAGAGGGGTCTGCTCCTTGGACTCGTCAGGAAATTCCAGCCAGTTGGGGATGTCCACCGGGTCCGCATCTAGGAAACGAAACAGGGCCGGCAGCTGATCGGGTGTGTGTAGCTGAAAGGTGGAGTCATCTCGCCGGACGATGAGGTGGAACGGGTGCCCCCAACGATATGTGGCAGAGGTAGAGCGGATGAGGTCTAACAGAGGACGGACTAAGCGCCGCATGCGAAGAGTGTGGCGGGAGAGGTCTGGCAGGATGCGAATGGTAGCGCCATCAAAATCAGAAGGGCCTTGTCTCCAGGCCTGACGGACGATCTCCTCTTTCACAGCGAAAAAGTGCACCCTGCATAGAACGTCTCTTGGTGCGGAAGGTGTAGGGGGACGGGCACCAGCAACCCTATGTACCCGGTCAAGCTCCAAGGCTGCGTCATGCGGTTTACCCAGGAAAGGCTCAACAATGACCATATTTGCAATTCATTGGGCCTGGCACTCCCCTCCACAGTGATAAGCACAACAAAGACTTTATTTCCCTACAAGCTATCAACACCTCAGGGGAAATATTTAAAACAAGAAATAAAACTATATACATATGTCTTATGAAGATTTGACATAAACTCATAAGGTAACAGTGGCTGAAATCAGCCAAACAGGGCCGAAGTGGATAGCCACACAGAATTCGGCTCACTTCCCTTTGGCTCAGCTATTCACTTGGCTACCTTTGGCAGCTTACTGAATAACCCCCACAGTATTGCATTACCGCTCGTTGCACTGCATGGCCACCAGGAGGTGCATTAGTATGCCATTCAAATGAAAGGTAACAAAATGCACTTAGAACATGGTACCGCACGCTAGGTGCATTGTGCAATAGCATGTGCTAAATGCATAGTAAAAGTGTGATTAGCACAAAGATGTTGTGTGAATGGGCCCTTATTAAAATCCTCTGTCACTTGCAAAAGAGGGGGTGATTTTCATTAACACAACAGAGCTGTCAAGAATTGTATTAATTTGCCCAGTTCAGCAATCAAGAATCACTCATGAAGCACAGCCCTTAACATATCACATAAATACAAGCTCAAGTGGAACTATTAATAGGTTGTTGGAGTGTATGAAGAATCCAAGGCACCTGGAAAAAACATAGTAAGAACATTGAAACTCCATGCTACAAATGTGTCATCAAAATCCCATCCAGGACTGCCCCCACTATTCTATCCTATGTGGCACGTGTTGGTTATGTCTTTAGATGAAGCACTTAAATCTTGAGGAATGCTGGATTAAGTTTTACTTGATTAGAAGAATATTGCATGTATGTATATGGCATTGTGAAGAACAACAGAGAGAGAAAAAAACAATTTCCTGTGCATCATAGATAAGCATGCACACAGAGACTAACATTGCACTACAACACCATCTACAGATCAAAAAACAAATAACAGAAGTATATGCTGTTGCATTTCCAACAGCATAAAGGATTACATTAGCATATGCCAATTGTAATAGCCCCCATTGACCTCACAGCCAACCTCTTTCCTAATGATAAACAATATTTGAGCACGGTCTCCCATTGTGCATGTTCATGGTGTCCCCAGCTTCCTGCTCATGAAAGGCATACTGAAAATTTAGCTGCAAATGCATGTGCTTTTATGGGGAGTGGTTATTACTACCGATTTCAATTGTCAAACACAATTGATATTACAGGAAGAGGTTGTAAAACATTTAAGAATATCTTCTTATACTCAATATATACTAACTAAAATTAGATGTGGCTTTTAAGGTGTCTTCTGAAGAATGCAAAGGGATACAGCTAAACATAATATCACATAGGTCATATGTATAGTAACATTTACTTTCAATAAATGTTTTGCCATGATCAACATACAGTTAAAAGACAGGACATCCACTCATCTTAAAAATAAGAACAACAATAGTTATATTAAGACATAGAACGTCCCTGGAACCCGTACAGATACATAATGTGCATGTTGTCAATACAATCTATTGTTTTGTCATCAATGTCTTAGAGCAATTACATAAATTATCATATTCATCATTAAATCAACTGTAGTTCTGTTCTTTGTCCAGCCTTCCACACATTTCATCAGAATGTTTTGGGGGTAACTTTTAATGTTTACATGGATATGATAGTAAGCATACAAATAGTTACATAATCAATAATTTTTACTAACTAAAAATACATAATACAAATGTATACATGAATAAATAAATACCATCTTTATGATTTGAATGGTGAGTTAATTCACATTTTAGGGGAGTCCCTCTAATCAACCAGGGAGCAGAGTATGACGGCAGCAGTGCAGAGGAAACAATGTGCCTGTCCTGGAGTACCTATAAAATTATTACGTAATCGAAGTATCTGCCAGGTGTGAATTCATACATATAAAAGGTTACAAACCCAACCAAACCGATATCTCTTGATGAGTCATTTGAGGATTAAATTATAGTTCAGGACAGATAACCTCGAAAGACAATACCTCCATATCCATAACAAAGTCAAGTCATTGTGTGGTGGTGCAGTGGTGTGGTGTCCCTGTTCCTGTGATGATTCCAAATATTTTGCATTACTTCTCATGGTCAACAGTTGACCATACTTCTGATGGTCAACGGTTGCCTTTTCAGTGGAGGCAAGGGAACAATGTTCTCAATGGTTCAGCGCTAAATCCTACTGTTGACAGAATCGGAAGGAAGACCTTTTTAGGTACGAAGACGACCAGGTATCCCACTGCCCACATGTTCTCTGTGAGACATCTGTCCATCTATGACCCTTTTAAAAATCTCTGTACATAGGCAGTTAGGTACCTTTATAGTCTGTACATTCATAGGTTTAATGAAGTCATCGGTTTATTCTTTATCATTCTGTTAGAATTGCACACAGGTTCAATTTGGGAGTTTGCAGTTTGACAATGTAATGTATGCCTGCAGTCTAATTTTAAAGCTATATAATAAAGCACATATTTCCTTTTGTTCTTTTAATGCCAAACGCTGAGCTGTATTGGAACCTGTAGTGCAGTACTGAATGTATTGGAGATAAATTCAAATGTCATATCCACTTTATAATAGTTAGCTTTGCAAAATATTTTAGACCACAGAAGCTGAATTCTGCCCTTTTGCAAAGGCCAAGTCAATGCAATGACTGTACTTTATGTCTGAAATAATGTGCACAATAATTCTTTCTTCACTGTCTCCAGAAATAGGAAATAGGATTGTTAGGAGAAAGATAACTTTCTAATGCAAAGTTTAATTGTTTTATTGGTTTCTGCTTAAAGAATACATAAGCAGTTTTAGAGCATTGTCTATTATTTAAAGGGGAACTCCACAAAACCTTTTTTTGTAGGGTGGGTAAGAGTTAGAACATGGTTTAATTGCATTCTGTGCTCCATTGGAAAGGATTTCCCTTTTTGACCCAGTGACAGTGATCTCCCAGGCCCCAGAAGTATTTTTGTAGGAGCATATTTTTCAGAGCACATCTGCATGTACTCAAATACAGAAGGGTTCAATCATAATTGCTGCAAATAGAAATTGTATTTAGCAATGCATCATGCTGCAATTTTTGAGGCTGTCTGGAGTGCATGTTCAATTTTTGTGAAAGTGAAATATACTTTAAACTTGGCAAGATCAATACATTTATTTTTAATATCAGCTTTATGTTATCCATTGCAGTTACATTTATCAGGATTTTCACTGTTATTCTGAACGTGAACCAAAACATAAAGTGTCAGGTATTGTTATAAGCTCCCATTTAAATTAATGTAGAAAATAAATAAACCTGAAACCATCTGTGTTAAACATTCAGTTTATCCTAATGTCCACAATGGAAATTGGGTAAATTGAGTAAATAGTGTGCGTTTGCTGAACGAGTTGGAATTATTTTTTATGTCATATTTTATTGGAATGTACCTGCCCTGGAGAACTATTGGAAGAGTAAAATGTCCAATAGTCTGAACCGGCATGTGACACTGCAGGTGTCACATGCTGGCACTATAGATTGAGAGCTGAGTGATCACAAACCACTGATCACTGACTGCCAGCCACCGCTCCCCACAGGGATTTCCCCCTCTCCTCTCTGTTCCTCCAGTGCTCATTGGAGGGACAGACAGGGGAGGGGGCGGAAACACTGGCTCTAGAGAAGCAGAGCCAGCTGTCAATCAGGCAGCGGGGTGGATATTGTTGGGATCCTTCCCGTTTGCAGCGTGGCTCTGTGCTGTCAGCATATAGCAGGCAGTAGCCCACTATATCCTGAGTTTGGGTCACAGGAGTACATTAGTAAATATATTCCTGTGACCCCCAAAGAGAACTAAAGCCCAAAAAAAGTTTGGCTTTAGTTCTCTTTTAAACAGGCCTGAGACTAATACATTTTATAAAGGCCAAGTCCACCCACAAAATAAGATATTCTCAGTGGAGTTTATGATTCTACCATCTACAGGTGTTAAGAAACCAAACAAAGGTGTTGAACTCTATTGTCTTCAAGTTACTGTGATGAAGGTGGTGAGTGAGCCATCCATGCAAATAAAGTGGATGGAAGTTATACTCAAGGAAGATATAAAAGACAAACCTTAATACAGCCCTGTAATCATCAATGCATTGTTAAATGGAATTTGTAATTTTAAGCAGTGGAAATACCTGAATTTGACATGATATAAGCCTTTTGCAGTCCCTGTACTGCAGCACTGAAGTGTGAGAGGAAGAAGCAGCACAGGGAGCCAATCAGTTCATGTGCTGACAAAAGCATGCTGATAGCAAGATAGAGAAGAATGATGAGCTCATCACAGTGCTGTTTCTCTCTCCACATCCAGCCAAAGGCGTACGTGCATATTGTACCATATGCAACACATGCAAATAAATGGCTCAATACACATAGCCGTGTATGGAGCCGTATATTTGCGAAGCGTATATATGCGCAAAAACAGAATGGAACAGAGATGTGTCCGGGTAGCGTATTTACGGGCACATCCGCGTGTTTACGCGTATATACGCTCATACATGCGTACAGCACATTAAAAATTCCATTACGAGTGATGCATTCTGGGATTGCATATAGTGCACGCATATACGCAAGTATATACGCGCATAGATGCTCATATATACGCGCATAGACGCGTATAAAGGCAATATACAATTTTGCTTGCATTATGTGTGAATGAGGCCTACAAGAACATGGTAGGAGGAGATCAACCCACCGGCATCCTTTAAAAAATAAATATCAATTTTAAGTGGACTTATTCTTCAAGAGAGTAAATGAAACTGCAGATCCAAACGCTGCATCACTCTTCTTTTTATTTTTAAATAATAGAGCCAATGTGCATGCATTAGTGGTATAGAAAATTAGTGCTTTAAACAGAAATTTGTGCGACTTATGTGTCTGCCAGCTCCATTCAAATGTGCTGAGCTTTCTGTGATGAAATTTTCCTGCACAATTAAACACTTTTCTACATTTGTGATGATTTTTGACACATCCAGAATAAATTATAGCTTTCTTTGTTTTATAATGGACATATCTCAGGGGATGGCTATTGTGGAATGATTTGTTTTGACAACTAAATCAACATAACAAAATTCCTTGGTGCAATGCTAATTTGAAGGGTATTGAAAGTTAATGTTTTAGATGCGCTTTTAATTTAGGCATCCTTGATTTAGTATTTGTTGAAACTAAAAAGTAATTTTATTTTAATTTCAGCTGGAAGTACAAGCTCCTCCAGGTACAACGGTTGGCTTCATTGTCCAGAAGTGGGATCCACTCCTGCCAAAGTTCACAATTCAGAATGAAAGCAAAGAAGATGTGCTGATGATCATTGGTCCATATTTAACATTCAGCTGCTTAGGCGATGTGAATTTTGAGGTATGACTCATTCTACTTTTATTCTGGTTTGTGCATTAAGAGAAAAAGCAAGATGGAAAGGGAACACCTAGGGGCTGATTTTTGTTCAAACTGAAAGCCTGAATGTATTGTTGGTATCCTGTGGCTCTCCATCTGCTATGGAGCGCCCCTGGCTGGCAATGCATGCTGGGACTTGGGAGTCCCAAAACACCTGGAAAGGCAGAGGTAATCTAAAGTCTAAATTTGTACCTCATGTGTTGCAAAATGGAAGGCGAAAGGAAATAGTCCATATTACCCATGGCCATCATATGTTTCCTTTCTGGAACTTTTTATAGAATATGCATATATATCTATATATAGATATATATCTATATATAGATATATATATACATACACACACTATATTGCCAAAAGTATAGATATAGATATATATATATATATATATACATTTTAGAGCACCTAACTGACAAGTGTGCCTTTCTCCAACTCCTCAGCTTTCTCCCCCCGCCACTGCCACCTCTTCAGCCATTGGGTAGCCACTGATGGTGTAGTTCCTACACATGCACACAGGAGTTACATGCTCCCCAATACCTATTCATGGCATCTTAAAGATGTGCCATACAGTGTACACAAACAAAAAAATCACTGGGGGAGAGAGGAATATTTTTTTTCCAGAAGAGATTCCGTACGTCTCTTCTGGCAAAAATCCGTACGTCCCAGCATTTTTTTTTCTTTTTTTGTCACCTTACCTCTACTGTAACTTTAGTTTACAAAAAGTGGTCACTCTGCATGTTCTCCTAGCTCAGCAAATAGGGTGAAGTTTGGTTCACTGGAATTATCCAATGACATATGTTTTTTTTTTTTATTTTCCTTTTCTTTTTCATAGCTACAGCTTTGCCTTATTCACTGCCATCCTTGTACCCACAAAATACTCCTTAACTATTGACAGATACACATAACCATAAAAGATCATCCTATTTAAAAAATAAGACACAAATTTGGACAAATAGCTAATGCTTCATCTAAGCATACCTTAAAGAAGTCAGAAACGACTTTGCAACCAGCAACTTCAATGTACAGTGGTAAGCACTTTGTTATGTACAATGAAAAAAAAATGTTCAGTATAGGTGGTGGTGTGGGGGGGGATACCAGGTATTGGTGGTCAGTGGGAGAAAAAAATACCTAATATCGGTGGTCATCAGGGGGCAAGAAAAAGACCAATGTACACAGGAGGAAAAAATGCATTCCAGTACCCAGCTGGCAGCGACACACAACCCCAAAACTGCAAGAAGCCGGAACTTTTATTAAAATCCAAGGACAATCCCGGGATGTGGCCGTGTTTGTATTGTCATATCAATTACTGTATCTTATACTCCTAAATGTTACCTTATGGGCTAACAAAAGAAAATCAATTATATAACATTAAAATGATACCTAGTCATGCCACCAACAATAGTGATACCCAATCTTCATTATTTTACAGCTCAGAAAGTGTATATTCTTGTTTTGTTTTCAGGGCACATAGAAAAATACGAAGTTAGAAATCACAGGCAGACTGCAAACCAAAGTGACTAAAATAGCCTTTCGTGGGGTTATACTCCTTTAATGTTTTCTGCAAAAGTTGATGGAAATGTCAGAGGAATAATTGCAGTTGTAAATGCTCTCTGTCAGTACCAGTTAACCTTTCTATCATATTCCTGTTAATACCCATTTCTAAGGCAATCACATGTTTTATTATCAACAGTAAAGTTCAATGATCAGACTAGAGCATGTCTGCACCATAGTGGGAACATTAGTGTTATTCTTACCATTACCTTGTATCCTTTCATTTGAGTCCAGTAATATGAACTCATTTATAGTTCATTGTACTATGCTATCTCAGGAAAAAAAATAAGGATGTAAAATATAAATCAAAAGACAGGGGCAGCTTCTCACATTAGTTTCTATGATAATATTTTATTGTCCTGAATGCCAAATAGAGGCCCTGATTGTAGCCTGAGGCTAATCATTTACCTCCCTCTGATCTGCTTGCTCAGGGAATAGTGAAAAAAAAACACGTCACCTGAGCAATTTCTTTATGTACATGTAATACTGGCATCTGATTGAAAGAAATTACAATGTTGTTCAAATGTGCAGTTCCCCTATGTGCTGAACACAGCTGCTCTAGACTGCAAAGTATCACATAGGGCTTATGCATCTGTTCTGTATGCTCCACCCCCCAAGTGGGGAATAGAGATTTAAAAAAAAAACAAATATGCTATCCACCAATTTCCCCCCAAAAAGGCAATCTAACTGGTTACCAGCAAATAAAAATTTTACATTTCCCTTTACATACATGTGCAAATCTCCTAACCTACACCAGATCACCCTGAACCAAGTTTCTAAGTAACTCCACTCTTAAATTTAATTAAAAGCAGTGGGTTCCAAATTTAAAACTATAGGGTCTATTCACTAAGCTGCTGTAGACTTTGCTCCCCAAATGCTTTTCACCAGCAAGAAATGCTCAGAAACCATCTTTCATTCTTAGGGGTCTATTCACTAAGCTGCCGTAGGCAGCTGAGTGAATGACCGACCTGAAGTGAAGTGAGCCGAACACTGTTCGGCTATTCACTTCAGGCTGGTACGGCTGAATTCAGCCGTATATCGTTCTAAAAATCAAAACAATATGCAATTTCCATATCCACTATCCTGTAATGTCGAAATCATCTAATGTAAACTTCTCAAAAGGACTTTTCTCTTCTTTAGCATCCAGTCAAAAACACAAATTTAAACACACAAAATACTTACAGTATATAGCATGTAGAGTTGGCCTGCACGCAGACAGTGCCAGGTATTGAGGGGTCTCCTTGACCTGCACCTTATGTCAAGACAATATTAGGTCCTGCTTCCCACAATTAAAGACAACCTGTAGAAAGATAATTCTACCGGCTGTCATTACTGACCTTTTACACATGTTTTTAGCTCCAATGTTTTTTTAGTTATTTACCTAATACAACCAGCAGCAAGTGAAGTCAGTGGAAAACCAGAATGGCTGACATTCCTACTTGTTCTACAGCAGTAAAAATATTCAGCATTACAGCTAGGCACATTTCCCTGACTACAGGTTTTCTTTACAGCTGAACTCCATTCAGATATAAAAACACTATATTATTCAGCTGTGTATTCATTACGGCACTGATAATTGTATTTTTACATACAACTAGGGAGGGGCAGAACTGAGAGTTGTTTACGATGTGTTGACTGGAGAACAGAGCAGAGTGAGCAGAGCTGATGATTTAGTATAATGTTGCTGCTCTGTCGCTGTCTTGGACACCGCTATGTGTTTTTTTTAGATCCCCTGTTTCCTTTTTCTTTGGGATTATTCACAATAAACTCACTTGTATACCCAGCATATCCAGCAGTGTCCTGCTGTGATCAGCCTCTATGCTGCACCATCAGCAGCCAATGATCTCTTCCTGGTTCTTGCAGCCATCCATCGACACACCACCATATCCACCCTCCTCCAACTGCAGGTCCACCCTCCTCCAACCGCAGGTCCACCCTTGTCCAGTGGCAGGCCTGTCCTCCTCCAGCTGCTGTGTGGAAGATAACGTATCATGGGTTGTGTGACATGTATATCCCAGGAATCTTCAGTTGCAGGGTACATACCATTCTCATGGAGGTAGAAGATGAGCTTGGGTGTCACGGATCGGGGCTCACAGGTATGAACTGGAATCAGGTCTGTGGACCCTATCTACTACGCTGGCAGGGGCCCTTAGAGAAAATGGTGCGAGCAGTGTAGGCTGACAACTCCCAGAGCTGGAGTACAAGCAGGGAGCTGAGCAGGGGAACTGAATGAGGCACTGGAAGACAGAATAGGCTGGTAGGACAAGGTACAGGGCAGGATGCTGCCATGCTAGATAGGTGGCATGGGGTCCCCCAGGATGTGGATTCTAAGGGCCAGCCGGTGTTCACCAGAGTTCCTGATGGAGGTGGAGATGGGCTTGGCTGTGTGCTGACCCCAGGTCACAATCCCTAGGTTCACCCAACTCACCTAACAGCCAAGAATGGTTGACAAGGCCAGAGTTCTGGACAGGTTGCAGACACACTTACAAGGGACAAAACAAAGGTCAGGGACACACGGAGGACCAGGACTTCCAGGGACAATCTGAAGACTGGGATTTCCAGGGACAAGCCAAAGATCAGTACACTGAAAAACTTCAAGGCATTCAGGTTTAATCACAAACAGGGGGCTCGGCATTTAGCTTAGGAAAGTGTTGCTCGGGCAGCGTGCCATTCGCTGTCCTGGGTTTTATATAGAGACAGGAAGAGGTAGGATTGGCCACAGGATTGGCCACAAGCGGACTGCACTGATTGGCCGAGAAGCTGCATAAGAAACAGCAGGAGACGTCGGCCGACGCCCAAAGCTGCCAAACTGGTGCAAGAATGAGTTAGGTTCAGAGCACATGCCAGGAGAACTACAAGCACCAGCACAGCCCTGCATGCCTACAGAACCAGGGGTAAGAGGTATGTATATACTTGTAGAACTACAAGTAACAGCTTGCTGCAAGTCTGCAGCTCAACTGTGACATTGAGTATTTTTTTTTAAACTATGGAAAAAAAATGAAGTCAACGTCTAGGATTGAGGAGTAGAGGGGAGTAAGGGATGGATGATTGCAGTCATATAGACTGCATTGTTTTAAAGAAAGCAATTCCACCCTTTTGGCTGTGCAGTCTGACAGAGGTGAATTCATCTTAAAGTGTATTTCCACTTTTGCAGTCAAATTTGAGAAAACCCCACTATATGTTTGTTATGTGTCCCATTCACAAGCATAATAAAAACTATTATTTTAAATGTCTTTTTATTCCATGTCTTTTAGATATTCGTTGCAGCAGGCAATATGACTGATTGCAGGTTTTTATCTGAACACCTTCACATTGACCTGTCCTTATAGAAAGACTTAGGACTGAAATTTGAGGATTGTGTTTCTCTCATTAACTTCACTAACATAAAACCCTTTGTTAGGACAGGCAGTGTTCAAATCTACTTTACAAATTTAATTGAACAAACCCCTCACAACCCTCCGAACATTACAAAGAAGGAGAAGCAAGTAGAAATGTCAACCCTTAAGAAGCCCTAATCCAAGTAAAAGCAATTTAAGCTGTATTAAGCATTTTTTCATTTTGTTCTTTTTTTTGGTTATGCTATGTGAATGGAAACATGTAACAAACATAAAATAGGTGTTATCTCAATTTGGCTGTGAAAGAAGAAATACACTTTAAAAGTGGCTCAATTGATTGGTGTATCATGTGGCGGACTATTCACATATGTGTATTTTACGGGGGTTTTGACCGTTTGGCTGGAGTTCAGCTTTAAATATATCTGTTTCCTGGACGCTGTACAATATTTCAGATGAACTACCCTCAACAAAATGTATCTTTTAAGATTTGCATTATTTTTCTGTTTTTTAACGTAAGCTCCCAGTGGAACAGCAGCTGTATATTTGTCATTGGCAGGACTGTAATGTTATCCTGAATCCTTCTTCAATTTGCTAGCTAGTGGCGTTGCATCTAATTATCGTCACATTGGTCTTTATCTCTTAGATTCTTTTTGGTGCCACCGAAACCAGCATGCTTGCAGGTGCAGTGCCGTAAATGTGAGACTAAAAACCGCCTACGAGGCAAAGACGTTGACTTTGAGCTTTGAAGATTTTACAAAAAACACATTAAAAATTCCCTTTCTCTCAGCTTATATGATGATCTCATTGCTGCCAGAAATATGTTACCTTTGTGAAGGTTCCGGTTTCCTGCGATAGGGAAAAAAAAGAATGAGAGCTTTATTGTGCTGCCGTGTAAAAGGGAGCCGGTGTGACAAGGCCAGTGCACATCTCAGCAGTGTTTATGTCTGAACAGAAAATAGAAACACAAGGAACATTTCTGACCTCAATCGCTTTGATGAAAACAAAAAGCCACACACGTACATGTACTCTTCACAGGTTACCATCTACTTGCTAATGCAGGTGAATGGCAAGAATATATTTACTAAGTGTACTGTAAATAGACCAGTCTAATAAGAAATAGGAGGTACACACAGTGAACAGTACATCAATGCAGCATTACATGTACAGCCTCTCTACACTCCTTAGTGTCTCTCCAGGCAATGGAAATTGTGCTGTTAAAGTAACCCTTTCCATCCCCAAACTAGAAAAAGATTCAGCTTGTGTGCTCTATGCAGTCCTTCCAGATCTATGCAGTAATCTAGTGTGAATCCAGTGTAAAACATTGCCCCTGTGCAGGAGCTTCCTGTAATAAAGACCTGTCACACATGCTCTCTCGTCTTGTGCAAGGAGACTGGTCTTGTTTCTGCCCCTCCTGTAGTTTTCTGCAGGCAGTCTGTAGTGGGTGGGGCCTGCTGCGCCCCTCCCACAGCTCTGCTCTCTGCACAGGCTATGTACAGCACAGTAATGAGGTCATTTATATCCATTGTAGCTATTGCGGACTATATTTAAGTAAAAACCTTTGTGCCTGGAGTTCAGCTTTAAGTGAATATTGTTTAAAGCCGAACATTATTCAAAAAATGTGTTGTGGATTAGCACCAGGGACATAATATACCTTAATGAAGTGTATCCCATGTCCTGCTGGAATAGTATTCTTTTCCAGAATGTAAAGCATTCTGTGAATGGAGGACAGGTGGATGAATGACAGGATCTGTCTACTCCAATCACATAGAACTTTGTATTCCGGGAAAGAAGACTACAAGTTTTATGAGACGGTAAGCGGCACTGATGCTTCACAGTCACATCTGTTGATCTTAACCCCCACAGGGCCAAAACATCACTGTGGGGTATTTGTGGCATCGGTGGAGAAAGGTTTCTACAGTAAGCGTCGACCAGCAGGACATGAGACACACTTCATTATAGATACATTATGTCCCTGGGGCTATATACCCAACAGTTTCAAACTAAACTTCAGCTTTAAAGAGGAACTCTGGGTAAACATTTTATTAATCCTTGCAGTGGGGCTTGCCAGCATTGCAAGGGTTACGTGCTCATTTTTGCCTAGGGTCAAAAGTAAAAAAGTTATACTCTCCCAATCCTTTGAGTCAGCTTGCTCTTAGACCGATCCCTTGAGCCTTGCTTCCCCGCCGGTGCAGCGATGTGAGGTCCTTGAGTCATAATTTTCTATACACAGTGAGGACATCAATAGACAACATACCATCACTGCAGCGGGGGAGCAGACAGGCTGGAGGGAGTGCTGTCACAGCAGGCCAGCTCAGATGAATATAACTTTGTTGTTTTTGACCCTAGGCAAGAAGGTAACCTTTGCAGTTCAGGGGTAGCCCCACTGCAAGGGTTAATACCATTATTACCACAATTTCTTCTTTAATCAAAGCACAGGCTGTGATCTGCATGGATTTCACTTGGACCAGACACTTCCAAAGCTAATTTTCTTTTACTTTGTTGTTATTACTACACCGTGCAATCATAATGCAAACATGATTATATGCTAGAGTAAACCAGCTGGTACATAGTCTATTGGGACACCATAAGGAAACTAGCATCCTGTATTTTAGAAATCCTTGTGTGTGTTTATTTATTTATCATTATACTTGAGAGCTCCATTGCTGACATTTTCGGCAAAGGTAAAGTAGCAATGTTTGCTGAAAACAACGTCCCTTTTTCTCCTTCACTTCAGTTTCACATACTGTATATCACATATCAGGTGAGAGCATTGTGCACAATTGATTTGTTACCTGGCTTAAAGTAAAGGCACACACACTGTTACCCTTAAACCTGGAGGGCCGCAGGTATGGGGACTGGTGAGGGCAGAGGAGCTCCTACCACTCCTACCTCTGAGCTGGTGTAGAAGTCCTTTGGGCCTTTATTCCATTCGCCTGCAGTTGTTGCACTTCATCTGGAGGAATTTCCAACACAGAAAGTAAATGAAAACCTGTAGAGTGCATCAATAGTGTAGTGGAGTCAGAAATAAAGAATGGCATATTTTTAAAAAATCCCAGAAATTGTGAATTGAGATGAAGTGTAGTGAAGGAAAGTGCTCCTGGGTTAGATTTACTGAAGCGTAAAGCGAGCTGATGTTAACATTTTGAGCACTATAGCACTCAAAGAAATCACATGGCTGGATGTGATAAGCACACAAGCTCACTTTCAGTAGGGCGTCATTCAGACAGGTGGCAAACTTTACCGCCCCTCTAAAAAGTGATCTGCAGAGTATAACTTTTCAGAGGCAGTTGAGCAGAGGTTTTGCAGGCATTCAATATTGACACTTCCTGAATGCCTCATTTCACCTTTCAGCTACTGTATGATAAACATCTGCTGCTGTCCCATTAAGTTCTATTGAACATTAAATACCTATAATGAGGCAGCCTGAGATGGCTGCCTCAGGCGGGATCTCATTGGGGAGGGTGGCCGGGTGTTGGGCAAGTGGCAGGGGGAGGCCACAGCATTCCGGTAACACTCTGTGTGGCTTCCCACCCAGCTCGCTAACTTCACCGGTTGCCAGGTGCTGAGCAGGACACTCTGGCTTGTGTCCCACCCAGCTCCTGGCAACTGGTGACGCCAGTGAGCTGGGCGGGATGCCGGACAGAGCCACTGAAAGCGCAGTCTGGCGTCTGCACCCCAAAACCGCCCCACCCAAACTAAAACTCAGCACAACAATGATCCCCCTTTCCCTGCAAGCACATCCCGCCCCCTCCCAGAACAGCAACTCATCACCAGGTGGCGAAGGACAGCCCTGGCTGGATTTACTCTTTGGGTAAAATGTATTTTCAAAGTATCTGGTGGGGGGATGCAGTGTTTTTCTTTCACAATAAGTTTATTGATACAACACAAATTGCATCTGTATTCTAAAACAGTTATGGGAAATATTAATAGACAACAATAACAAATCAACATAAAGTGAGATGAACAGCAGAAGGCAGGCCAGCCATATCTCAGTATCCATAGCAATCTATAATAGATAACAGGATATGAGTGTTAGACATAAGAAGTCAGATAGACATATCATTTAGGAACACACATTGTTTGGGCTAATGCAAAATGTAAACTGAAGTCCACCCTCCCAGAATTGGATTGGGCAGGAGGAAGAACCAGTCAATCTAACTGGTTCTAACAAACTGGACAGTTGGGAAGGCAGCTAAAAAGAAGAGGGACGCAATCAGAAATGTAGGGAAGCAAAAGAAAAGGGGTAGCAGGAAAAGAAAGAAGGGGGTGCAGTGTTTTTCTGAAAAACTATGACCAATTAACTGGTTAGACTTGAACTGCGTCTTGAATCCTGAAATGTTGTATAACACAATTTTGTATGTTTGCTTTTAAATTCTTTAGGTGAAAACATTAAACGAAAAGTCAGTGATTGGCAAGATTTCCAAGTACTGGTCAGGATTTGTAAATGACGTTTTTACCAATGCTGATAACTTTGGGATAGAATTTCCTGTTGATCTGGATGTAAAACTGAAATCTGCTTTGATTGGCACCTGCTTCCTAATAGTAAGTACAGTTAATGCACGTGTTATGCAATATGTTTCTGTGTTCCAAATGAACCAAGGAGACAGGGTAGCTGGATTTAAACAGCAGAAGATGCATCATGTTCACCAGTTACCTCTGACAGCGAAAGCAGATTATGTACCATAAGTCCCCACACATGTACGTGCCTTCAGTTTTGCAGCTGATTCTACAAAATCTAATAGACATATATACATCATTGTCATTTATTTCTGACGCACAAATACTGTGCCAGGTTTAGAGATAGCAAAGCTTGAAACAACAAGTAGGATCTTTGCCCTGGTGGCCCAACCCAAATGCTGGGCTAAAATGCATTTCTCTGTTTCCTCAAACATCATCATTGGGTGTTCATTAGAGACTATTATTTCCACAAATATGCTACAATGTGTTAGTAGTTTAGTGTTGTTGGTACAGGGTTTATATTTCACCATAGAAATATAGACATGACAATAACCTTGATCTATTTTGCCCCTGTAATTGTCCTTAGGTATAAAGCTCAACTCTGGGCTCCCCAGCTCTAGTGTCTTTCCTTCTCCCCCGAAGCCCTCCCAGAGAATGCTATGCTGTTTTTTTCTTCCTTTTGTCTTCAGGCTAGTCACATGATCCCACAGGGTCCTCTTCTCCAGGCTGGACTGTGCTTGATGATGCAGAGAGCAGTGTTGATGTGATGACTCTGCTTCGTTTTACAGTAAATGCACGGTACCTTTTGGGGCAAGCTCAGGACACTCAGCACTCACAATATGTCCTCAGCTTTCTGGGTGAAGCGACGCTTGGCTGTGATATAAAGGGGGAACACCACTTTGTTGTGTTTTGCTTGGGGTTCTCCCTTAAAACTCACACCAGACCCCTATCTGGAAGGAGGGTCTGATATGGATTTTAAAGGAGCCACACTTGCATACAAGTGTTCCATGACTGAACTGTTCTATGTTCTATATATTTCGTTATTTACAGTGTTTACATTGTAAATCCACTTCGTATATGGGTTTTATTTATTTCCTAGAATTAATTATAAAGCCACAATTTCTTCACTTTTTCTAGGATGCATGCAAAACCTCTCCAGTTTATCTAATATCACATTTCTCTTTTCATTAGGAGATAACTAAGACAGAGATACTGTAGATACGTTTAATGATAACAAGTGGTGATATATGATCTGGATTAAGTTAAGATGCTAATTTCAAACATTCCAGGCTTTGTCATCCAAACTATCAATATATATTTCCTATGTTGCCTTCAAATCCCTACCCAGGGCTTGGGAACCTCACCCTCCAATTTCCCATTGGAGCCCCCTTTTGCATATAAAAAAAAAATCAGTATACTTACACCTCTTCCCAGGGTCTTTGGTTCAATCCATTGCCATCCCTGTTCCTCTTTAGTCCCTACTTTCTCTGGTAGTGGGAAGGTCATAAATGCTGCAAAGAGCAGCACCATGATATTATACAGGCACTTGACGCCCTGAGATCACAAGAAGTGGATTGAATGATGCCATTCAACGCCCTGAGATCACAAGAAGTGGATTGAATGATGCCATCCAGCAGCCCTGGATCTGTGTCCAAGTGAGTCTGCTGGATAGGCCCATAGAGGAGGTGAATATGTCAGCCAGTTTTTTTTTTACCTAATGGAGATTTTGTTTTTTGTCCACACTGGAATTCATAGTACCTTTGAATGAATGCTGGATTCACAAAGAAGAACATTTTTATATTTGTTCTTGATATACAGTATACCCTTTCGGGAATTGATTTTGAGATACCCTATATGATCGTATTTGGGGTGGTCTAAAATTCACAGTTGAAGGACGTGTCTAATTTGGAAGAAAAAGACAAATCAAGCTCACTAAACTAAGGGTGAGATTGTAGTCCATCATGGGAGCGAGCTTGGAGCAGTGGCTACTTTACAACACACACAGGGTCTCTGTGCATGTTGTAAAGTAGCCACTGCTCCAAGCTCGCTCCCACGATGGACTACAATCTTATGTTTAGTTAGCTCATTGGTCCATGGAGGACAAAAGTAGCCACCCTCCAGAAGGAAGGACAGTGTCAGCACCAATTCAGAAATGATTTGAGGATCTACAGCCGAGTGACACACAAATAAGTTACATTTTTGTTAATAGTTAAGGTACTTGAATGCATTTGAAGATTTAACTCCTGAGTTTACTGTCACTTTAATGCAGACAATAGCTACCAATGGCTCCACAGCAAATGTATATAGCAGAGATGGGGATGGGGACAGCTCTGTCATCCTTTACGATATATGTGTGCTGTAGGGTATTTAATTTAATAATTATTTCTAAAAAAATGTCACTTACCACACCCAACTCTCTACTCGGCCCACAAAAAGTTGTTCCAAAAAGTCTAATGTTCTAGTGAAAAAATGAGCAAATGGAATCCATATTCTAATACAGTGAAAATATTTTTAAAACCCTATATTCTATTAGATATTTAATAAAATTCTTGTTTTTACCAAAAAAAGGAAATTGGCGTGTAGCAGGAAAATAGGTTGGTAGTCTTTAAAGGAGAACTATGGGGTTAAGGCTTTTCCCCATAGTCCTCCCATCACCCTAGGCTTAGTATACCGCGAGCTACTGAGACGCCGCTGTATACCGCAAGCTGCTGCTCGCAGTATACTGAGATGCCGCAGCTGAAGCAGATCCTATCTAGAGGCAGAACCAGCTGTACCCGCCCCCTCCCCCGTCCGTTCCGCCAGTCAGCACTGGCGGATCGGAGCGGGGAGGGGGGAATCCAGCCCCTCCCCTGTCACAGCAGAGAGCCGTGACAGTATCGAGAGGTGAGTGAATGTTGGTATGTGTTCGCTCACCTCCCGATCTACTGAGCCGACCTGTGACAGTCTCATTGTCACAGGTCGGCTAGAACTATGAGGTGAGTGAAAAGCACTCACCTCATAGTTCTCTTTTAAAACAGGTCATTGCTGAGTTTTAGTAACAGCAAAATGAAAGCTCATTCATGCAAAAAGTGATTGAAAAATTTGTCACAAGTACCTAATGAGGCTGATAATGAACTGATAATTGGTCTACATATTTTTATAAGGAATTCGAGATGAGCCATTGAAGCCTAGTGACTTGTGGTTTGCTAATGTAGAGACTAAGGACCATTTTAATTACAAAAACATATATATGTAAACTCATCATAATTGGGTATATAGTGTTCTGTTAACATCTAAAACAGTATTGCACAGCGTGATTTTAGTTAGACCAGCTCAAGACACAATGTGATTAGCAGCAAAGTGCTTATAATCAGTTGTCCCTTAGTTACCTTTGAAGTGGCTTCCAGCATCTTCTTGGGTGATGCTTATTACCTGTCAGCATGAACACTTGCTGCACTTGCAGGATTACACCTTCTGTAACCCTGAAGCACAGCATTAGTCTCTTAATTTATTTGATTCATTAAAATATTCCACTTTATTAATAACTAAAGTGTTTTACATGGTATATTTTTCATACTTTGTGTGACAGACAACCATTGTCATATTTATTTCTTTTATACGACTCAAAAGTAGACAAAAAATAGGATACCCCACTTTAAAATTCTGACAATGGCAGCAATGCCTTTTGTGCAAAGAACAATGAGAGAAAAGCCTATCAGGCAAAAACTCATGTAACAAATGTGATATTTCACATAACACTGCATACACAACTTGTTACCACAAGATGGCGATCTTAGCTTACAAATTGTGAGCCCCCATTTCTTCAACAACCAATATACCGTATGTGAACATACTTCAGCAACAACCACATGAATTATTCTAAACACAACATCGTTCATATAGCTTTGTAATACAAGTGGAATTGATTTCCACTTGTAAATGGAAATATTATTATATTAATTCTATATAGTTATATATAATAGCAGAATGATATCATGAAACACTAATTTAACATGCATTTTTGTGCATTTCACCCGCTTGCAACCTATACTTTTCACCTTAGTTACCATTTCACCTTAGTTGGCCAAACATAAACACATAACGCATGATCACACATGAAAAATGCACTAAAACGTGCTTAAGCAACGCCTGAGAATTCAGACACACAGATGTAAATGGAGGCTTAGACCTACCAAGAACTATGTAGTGCCAGGGCCTGCCTGATTGTATACAATGAATGGATAGTTAGGTAGGTCCTCATATTACATAATTTTGGGTAAAACGTAAGGAGATTTTATAAAGATTGTATAGTAAGATTGTAATGTATGTGATAAGCTTTAGAATTACCAACAACCTCCTTACCATCTTATCTTGAATTGTATTGTGATTGTAATGTCTTCCTTATATTGTAAAGGCGCTATATAAATCCTGTATAATAATAATAATAATAATAACTATGTTGTGTGAGGACCTGTCTGGCTGGATATAAATTGAATGGATTGTTTGTGTAGGCCCTCATATTTCATTGTATTGTAAGATCAGTTTTGTACAATTCATCATGAATGTACTTAAGTTGTACAAACAGATTGTAAACCTTGTGGCCAACTTTATTATGAACTGTAGATCCCGTGAAAGCCTCAGTACTGTTGGATCTTATTTATGTAAGTAATTGTTGGTTTCCTTTGAACTGTCGGATCTTCTGAGTAATGTTTGAGTTTCCCAGGCACAGATTTATAATTTGGTATGTGATTACATGGATGGCAATGAGTTAAGGTATAGCATATTTCTACGTTTTAGTCCTGAGCAAAGCAAGACTTGTTTGTGGAAATTAACCTCTTAAAGTGGACCTGTTTTGTCTACACAAATACATTCCTAACATGGCACAATACAGAGTAATGGTGTTATTATTCAAAAAACTTCCATCTTTAAAAAATGTTGCAGGCAGGAAGAAACACTTCCTCGTTCTCCTCCCCTCCAGAGATCACACTATGACATTGTACCTTTACAACAACAGGAACTGATCCATGTCAAACATTTGGTAAGACAGCCAAGTACTGCTTCTGTTCTAGGCTTTACATGATTGTGTCATCCCTGGGCCACCATCTTAGTGCAGGAAGTAGATACCAACTCTGGATAATGTCTGAACAAAGATGGCTTCATCTTTCTGGAGAGAAAACCAGATGAAGGAATTTTCTGAGTACTGTGTCTGTTGTCAGAAACAATAATTAAGTGTAAGTGTTACACTCACACATTGCCTGGTATGCATGTACTTAAAAGGGAACTACACTTCCCCTTATCTTTTTTTGCTGGGTATGCAGGAAAAACAAACCCACATGCCCAGAAATCCAGTGAAGGTCTGTAGAGATTCGCCAATCTGCCCCCTGCACAGCAAGTCCCGCGCTAGTGTCCTCTTCTCTGACATCATTAGGGGGCAGCTGCCACAGAAATAATTCATATCAGATTGTTAGAGAGGAGAGGGATAGGAGTGGAAGTAGAGAAAGTTGGTAGCGTGGGTGAAGTTCCCCTTTAACAGGAAAAAAAATATCTGATCTGTTGCTAGATCAACTTTAAAGCTAAACTTCAGGTATAAAGTATTATGCACTTGTAGTGCACTCCCTTAGGAGCCACAGCGAATGTAATGGGCCTTCCAAGCCTGTCTAGGCGATGAGTAGCAACAATTGCCCCAATAGCATTAACCACCCTATGCTTGATAATGATAGAGTTGGAATCCAGACCAGAGGTATGATGCTAAAGAACTTTTATTAGAACATATGAAGTGGGAGAGAGGGTTTAGGGTTTATGACATCCATGCGAAAAATAGATAAAACAGAACTCCAGACCCACCAGTCCCTTTCAGTATTCCACAGAGAAGGTTTAATGAGCACACGCTGACACTGGGTACTTGAGCAACAGCTGAAGAGGGATGGGTGTGAGATCTTTAATAGGAGAGACACCAAACTTGCTTCTGAGGTCCATTCAAATCCAGGCACCTCCAGCAGCCAGCAACTTCCCTGGTTCTCCTCCTCAATCCATAGCAAAGGCCTCCTCCAGACTTGAGGTCTAGTGAAACATTTCCCACACTTGAGTATATCCACCCCCAGGCCTAGGCAGGCTGGACAGCACCCAGCTCTGACTGGACTCTGGGCTATCCCAGGACTGGACTGAGCACATGGCAATTTCCTTGAGTAGATATGCCCTGTCCCAGCATGCACCACTGGCTATGAGAGCCCCAGTGATTAGTGGGTGGACTGCAAACACACTCACAGTATCCCACACTGCTGCAGAGTCGCACTCCACTCAGGCAAGTACAATCGATGCTAGAACACCTGGAATTAACCAGATAAATGCCAACTATAATTCAGCCATGCTGACTACAGCTCTAGCAATCACTAAGTTTATAGTAACCATGCCACAAAAGGTGGCGGGGCTACACATTCTTACACCAGTCCAACTTGGCTTGCATATTATATACACCTAGTCAGCCTATGGGGATTCTGTAAAGTATTGTAGTAGCCAGAGATACTACAGAGCTTTACAATGATCTTACGAGTCCTTTGCATTGGAGGGGACATTACCATCCCTCGTCCAATCATAGAACACCTTGTATTCATTGGTGAAAATACTAGGCATTCTCTGAATGACCACTGTGCAGAGAAAGTGTTTGCAGAGCAGAGGGGAAGCAACTTACAACACCATACAAGATGCTTTACAGAATCCCCATGGGCCGACCAGGTATATTATATGCATGCTTGTATTCAGCTAAGGTGGACCAACCAGAGTATGCATTATACTTTATATCTGGAGTCCAGCTTTAAGCTTTAGTAGGTGGAGCCAAGAGCTTGAACTTTGAGTATACAATATGTTGATTCTTTGGCATTTTCTAAACATATTGTTTATTTGTAGGATTTGATGTACTTTGAGCAATCTTCTGACGGAATCTAAGGAAACCAAGGAATTACCAAAAAAAAGCCAAGACTGGAGTAATCTCTGGACATTAAGCATTTCCTGGATACATTTGCACAGATTATCTGACAAGATCATTTCAAAACTACTGTTTAATAAAAGTTTGAAGTAGTATGGACACTCAAGATCTTTTCTTATCAAATATCCTATTAGTCAATTAACGTTTTAGTAAACATTTGCACAAATCCAGCCAAAAATGAATTATAGATACTTCAAAGAATTCTGAACATCCAGGCTCTAAAAAACATCTATTGTAAAATGAAGAAAATAAATGTGTCATTTTCTAGAAAAGTTTAGATAAACTAAAGAAGAAGTCTGAACATTTTAGTTGTCATGGAAAGTGCATTGAACGGTAAGGTATGAGATAAATAATATGTGGTACAAAGTCTGAGCAGCAGCAGTTCGGGGTTTAGGAGATCATAGATGACTGGTCCTCTATCTTCTACTCTCATTTTATTTATATCACTAAGTAAGACTGTATGAGCATTACAGTTTATTCTTATCTGAATAATAAAAGACCAATTTTGGTGGGTTTCTTTGTCTTACAGTGTATCCTCGTTGGTTGACGGTAATAAATAAAAATAATGCCTTATATGTTTGTTTTTTATAAAGATCCGTGTATATGAGACTATCATACCATGACTTTCCAGCAGAGGGCAGTCAGCCCTCATTTACTATGATTAGGTGACCTTCGACAGCAGTATGCCTGATTTTAGAGAAGTATGGAAGCTGCTGTTGCCTAGCTCATCTCCTGAAAATGCTAGTGGCCTGGCTGTTATATTGACGCCCTGACCTCAGTACTACGGGGGGAATGATTAAAAAGTGTCTCAGGCAAACTTTGCGTCAACTTTATCTCGATTGGAATGCAGCCAATCAGCTTTATCATTTTCATTGTCTAAGCTGTGTGGAAAAAATGAAATATAGAAGCTGATTGATTGCTATGGGAAACCGCACCACTTGAGAAAGAACTTGCGCGCAGATACGTTTCATTAATTCCGCTTATGAGTCCCTGACCCAGAACAGGTATGCAGATAGAGATTTCCTAAACCATTGCATGATTGACTGTAAAGTACTAAAGTGTATGTATGGCTACTATGGCCAAAACATTTTTTTGTTTTGGATAGTATAGGTAAAGGCTAAAGCCCTGACCAGATAATTTTTTTGGTTCTGCTGTAAAGATTTCCCTTCAAGTAGTATTAAACATCCATTCTTTTTTTCAGTATTGAATGAAGACCAAACAAATATACATGGCCTAGCAAAATATTCACATTTTTTCCCAAACACTTACAGTCACCATGTGTCTGAACAGCTGGCTCCAGTCTCTCAGCTCCACTTCTCTGAACTTCCTGTCCAGTACTGGATCACAAGGAACTGAGCAGACTCCAGCAACTGTTCATCTACTAGCTTGGAGAAGGGAGGAAGGGGGGGGGGGAATGAGGAAGGGAGAGCAGCAGGGAGAGGAGTGTCTTGCCTTGATGTGTCTGTGTGTTTGTGGCAACACACAGCTTATTAGCACACACAAGGGTGGCTCCATAGGAGATAGGAGCCACCATAAAACAGGATATCATGACCAGTGCTCATGGGACCAGCTGATTCTGCAGGAAACTAAGGGGTCTATTCACGAAGCTGCCGAAGGATCTAGCCGTAGCTTTGGCCGATCCTTCGGCTGGCTTCGGCCCCAGGACCCCTTCGGTTCAGTAGAACCGAAGGGGTGCTGTACGGGCTATTCACTATAGCCCGTACAGCTCCCGAACGTGGCCGAGCGGCTCAGTCGAGCCAAACGCATATGCATCAGCTGGGCTGAGCCGCGCTGAAAGCCAAAGCTGGCCGAGCCTGCTTCTGACAGCTGGGCGGAGCCAGCCGTGATCTTACGGCTGGCTCTGGCCACTTGCAGAGAGATCAGCGTCCCTGGTTACCTGCTAACCAGGGCCACTGATCTCCAAACAGCAAACTCTCCCTGGCGCCCCGGGAGTCTCCCGCTCCCGTCCGCCAAGGTGAGAAACACTGCTGTGTCTTTTTTTTTCTTTATTCTGACACGGAGCGATGTCAGAATAGAAAAAAATATATATATTTTCTCATTGGAATGCATTGCTAGATTCCTATTGGCTATTTCAATTTGCAATAGCCAATAGTAAACTAGCATTGTACCCGCCCTCTGCTGATGGACCTGATGGGGAACTGCAGCAGAGGGCGGGTACAATGCTGGTTTACTATTGGCTATTGCAATCAGCCGTACCAGCCTGAAGTGAATAGCCGAACGGTGTTCGGCTCACTTCACTTGGGGTCGGTTGTTCACTCGGCTGCCCTCGGCAGCTTAGTGAATAGACCCGTAAAACTCTTAGGGGGTTATTCATTAAGGAGGCGAAGGATTAATCCGAAGGCAGCTGAAGCACTCAGTCGAGCCGAACGCATATGCTTACACATACAGATATGATATAGTTACAATCATTAAAGACAAAGGTACATCAGTTAATAAGTGTGTTAGCAGACCCCTTTGGTTTATTGCTTTGGAAAACAACAGAGATAGCATACATGCTGCAATTTTATGTGCTTGCCCCAATAGCACATCAGTGCAGACTGCCTATATCAGAGGTAGCCAAACTTTGGCTCTCCAGGGCAGTGAGGCCACAAATCCCATCATGCCTTTGCCTCTAGAAACCATGCCTGTGGCTGTCAGAATCTGTGCCCTATGAGACTTGTAGTTTCACCACAGCTGGAGACCCAAAGTTTGACTACCTCTGCCCTAAGGAAAAAAATGTTTTCTGTATAAGGTAATTAAATTAGGTAACATGCAAATGCAGTGCCTAACACCTCTACATACTATAGGCTTGGTTTACTAAGCTAAGTCACTAGGCATTCAGCCTCCGGCAATAGGAAGCATCCCTCTGATTTATCAAAGTGCACACAATATGCATTAAATGCACATAAAATGTCATTTTTTTTGGCCTGGCTGGATCCCTAGCATGGTTTGCTGTGAGACTGGTGTAACCTGGGAAAATCTTTTGCTAAATATCTTTTGCTAATAAAAAATGTATATACTGTATATTTTGGTACATGTTTTGTTTTATGATAAAGTGACAATAAGGTTCCGTACACATGCTATCCAGTTCTGTGCCCTGAACGCACTGGATCGCATAAACAAAGCCCCCCCCCCCCCCCCCCACCCTATTAACAAAAATTTAGCTTATTTCTGTATCACTGTAGATCGTCAATCTTGACACAAATTAGTAAACTAAACATGAGATTGTAGTACATGACGGGAGTAGGGTTGCCACCTTTTCTTCAAGTGAAACGCGAACACTCTAGCGCCGCACGCGGCAATTTTTTTTTTTAATATAGAGGAGAGGCAGCCAGGGGAGGGAATGATGACGGGTCCTCGGCAAGCACAATCTTAGGCAGCCGAATCTACCTAAAACCCGGCCCTTCCTCTGAGCTGCGTGCACCTGTAAACAGACACAGGCTGCCGGCAGCTCAGAGAAAGCGAGCTTGCAGCGGTGGCTACTTTTCAACACACACAGGGACAATGGGGAACAAAAGTAGCCATGTAGAGATGATTTGAGAATCTACAGCTGAGATACACAAATAAGATGCATTATTGGTAATAGCTAAAGGTACTTGAATGCATTTGTAAACTTTAAGGGCCGGTTCACACCACAAACTCCGCGTTCCAGTGCGTTCGGCCTCTGGAACGCACTGGAATGCAAGCCGGCCGGCTCCCTGCATTCAGGGGCGGGAGGCAGTGCATTAAAGTCAATGGCACCGCAGCCACGCCCCCACCCGCAGTGCGATCACCTGCACCCGGAACGCAGGCACATTAGTGCCTGCATTTCAGTCCAGTGCGTTCTGCAAAAATACTGCAAGCACTATTTTTGCAGATTGCACTGGAACGCGGAGTTTGTGGTGTTAACTGGACTTCACTACTGCTTTTAGTGTTACTTTAAGTGCAGGTTCCAGTGTATTCAAGACCAGACAAAACGAGACATGCAGTATTTTTCTGGTCTGCAGACTGCACTGATGGGATCAGAGGCCAGAAATAGCATAGGGATACATTGAACTGCATTTTGGGTCCGGAAACAGTCTGGTCTGAAGGTAATCTGGATGTGGTGTGAATGGCCCCTTAATTCAGTTATTATAAAAGATTGCACAATGAATATTTCACATTTCAGCCAGCATGTACAAAACGCTAGAAAAGAGCACCAGCTTTCTGGGAGATTCATTTACAGCTATAGTGTGAAATAGAACTGAGCAGGAACTGCAAAGTAAGGGTAACGACTACTCATCACAAAGAGGTTAACAGTACTTTATGGCACCCCTACCATCATAACATTGTTAATGAGTATTGCACCTTCACAGCTGCATACATTTGTATGGAAGGGTAATGACCTTTACAGGAATCTTCCAAAGGCAAATTACAGGATACCTATCAGGACTGAATCTCCCCAATGAGATGGCTTTCCACAATAGGGACATCAAGGTCCTAGCTCATGTGGCTGCTCATGTATTCAAAATAGTTCAGTATTTTCATAACTGAAGGGACTGACTGAGTTGATGACACAGAGGAAACACCATCTACAGGTGTAAAGATAATCTTTACAGTATCCATATTCAGAAGGCTTTCCTGTTTGTCGGTTGAAAATATCTTCAATCCATGTCCAATGCCACAATTTTAATTAGTGTTCAAAGCAGGGTCCAAGCATGTATGTACATGTCTCATACGCCGCCTCACTGCAGAAACCAACGCTTAAGCAAATCTGGCTGTGTAATATGGTGTCATAGATATTTCTTTTAAAGCAAACTGATGTAGAATATAAAGCTATAAATGATGCAAATACCAAGATAAAGATTAACAAATCATTAAAAGATAAAATAACAAAAACAGCTCCTGCTAAAGTTGTATATAAACGCTCAGACTTTTTTCCAATAATGAATCAAAATCAAACAAATATACATTGCCTTGCAAAGTAATACTTCACATTTTT